TCTGTGCCTTTGATTTTTTTTGTACCTAAGTGTAAGACTTTGCACTTATCTCTATTAAAATCCATTTTATTTGTCCCAGTGCACTGTTCCAGCCTATCTAGATCATTTTGAATCCAGACTCTGTCTTCATCAGAATTAGCAATCCCACCCAGCTTCGTATCATCTGCAAATTTGATAAGCATCCCCTCTATGTCTTCCTCCAGGTCATTTATAAAAACATTGAACAACACCGGGCCTATGACTGAGCCCTATGGCACTCCACTCGAGACTTCCCTCCATGTAGATGCAGAGCCATTTACGAGCACTCGTTGGGTATGATTTTTCAACCAAACATGAATCCATCCAATGGTTGCACCATCCAGCCCACACTTAACCAGCTTATCCTCAAGGATATCATGATAAACTTTGTTCAATGATTAACTGAAATCTAGATACACCTGAGCTGCGGTGGCTCAAGTGGTTAAGACGCTGAACTGCAGGCTGTGGAAGGTCGGTAGTTCAGCAGTTCGAGACCCGAGTGCCGCATGAAGAAGAAGAAGAGATTGGACTTATACCCCGCCCTTCACTACCCAAAGGTGTCTCAGAGCGGCTTACAAACTCCTTTCCCTTCCCCTCCCCACAACAGACAACCTGTGAGGTAGGTGGGGCTGAGAGAACTCATAACAGAAACTGCTCTTTTTCAAGAACAGCTGTGCCAGAGTTATGGCTTGCCCAAGGTCATCCAGCCAGGTGCAAGTGGAGGAGTGGGGAATTAAACCCGGTTCTCCCAGATTAGAGTCCGCACACTTAACCACTACACCAAACTGGCTCGCATGACGGAGTGAGCTCCCGTCTCTAGTTCCAGCTCCTGCCAACCTAGCAGTTCGAAAGCAAGAAATTGCAAGTAGATAAATAGGTACCACTTCGGTGGGAAGGGAACAGCGTTCCGTGCGCCTTGGTGTTTAGTCATGCTGGCCACGTGACCATGGAAACGTCTTCGGACAGCGCTGGCTCTTCGGCTTTGAATCGGAGATGAGCACCGCAACCCTAGAGTCGGATTCGACTGGCTTTCGAACAAGGGAACCTTTACCTTTACTTTTAGATACACTATATCCACAGCATTGCCAGAGTCAACCATTTTAGTCACTCTGTCATAAAAGGAGATAAGGTTGGTCTGGCATGACTTATTCTTGATAAACCCATGCTGGCTACTACCAATTAACTCATTCTGTTCAAGGTGCTCACAGACAGAGCCTCCAACTCACACATTTTTGTCTTAGCTCAGGAAGGATAGCTCCAGAGCAAACTAATTTATGCAGCAGCCAAATCGCTCACTCACAACTTTAATGCCAGCAGCTCACAAAGTAGAATTGTTGCTCACAAGACTCCACAGCTTAGAGGGAGCATTGACCCGTATGTTTTCTGTGACTGCAATGGGCAAGCATGACATTTAGCATGGGGTGCAGCAATCACCATGCTGAGAATGTCTATTTTGATGTCATTTTAAACTATCGAGTTACTAACACTTAGGCTGTGAAAATAGATTTGAATGGCTGCACAATGCCTGGCAAAACTTCAGAAGTTACATGGGAGTGGGAAACTGCTAAACAGGAATTCCACTGACCAGGTAGAGGGATTCAATGCCCTGAACAGGCATTTTACAGGGCAACGCTATGCAGTGACTCCAGTCTAAGCTCATTGAAATCAAAGTGCTTAATACTAGAGTAACCGCATAGGATTATTGTTACTCTCCCAGAGCACTCTCTTGCTGATCTGAAACTGATCATGTTTTAACAAACAAACAAAAAATGTCAAAGGAACATTTTGCCATTGAACTGCTGAATTTTTTGTTGTTCAGTCGCACAGTCGAGTCCGACTCTTCGCGACCCCATGGACCAGATCACGCCAGGCCTTCCGGTCTTCCCCTGTCCTCTGAAGTTGGCTCAACTTCATGTTCGTTGCATCTTCTTCTTGCTGAATTAGACTTCATCAATAATTCTCTGATTGCGCTTTTCAAGGCTTTAATAAAGAGCAGACATTTTTCACCCATTACAGATATATTTCAGCAAACATTAAAAAAACTAGAGAGACTACGGCCCTTCCCAGATGTTCAAGTGGGGATAATGAACATACATGGGGAGGGGAGTGGGATCACAGCAGCAAGGTCTGTCCCAATCGTGAAATGTCTGTACGGAGTCTGTACATGTATTGGAATGTCTGTACAGAGCCTGTACATGCTTTTTCATGGTTCTCAACGTGCAGTTGAATGCGTAGTTCTGACCTGGATAGCCCAGGCTAGCCCAATTGGTCAGTATTTGGATGGGAGACCACCAAGGAATACCAGGGTCAAAACACAGAGGCAGGCAATGGCAAACTACCTCTGAATGCCTCTTGCCTTGAAAACCGCATGGGGTCGTCACAAGCCAACTGTGACTAGATGGCAAAAAAACCCAACCCAGTTGTATGTGTACAGTCCTATATAGGCATTCCAATGTACACACATAGGCTAAGATGGAGTTTGTATAACCTATTTAATTCAAGGAGCAATATCTAATAAATATTTTAATTAAAGAACTGAGAGAGTTCACGTCTAGGACAGTGTGATCCCACCTCGTGACACTTGCATTTATGAAAATAACAGTAAACAAACTTCAAAACACATAGTATTCAGCGCAATAATTACCCATATACAACAGCAGTCAACATGTAAGGATTCAGGCCTGTTGCATCTGAGCAGACCAGGGTCTCGGCCTCAGTCTTTCTGACTTCTGTCTAGCCAGTCCTTTGAAGATGCATCAACTTGCATCTCTGCTCTGGGATGGCGTCTGTTCTTTACAGGAGTTTCTGGTATCCGTAAAATATCAATATGTTGTTTTATAGAAAGGAGGCCTTCTGAGGTGAGAGTGCTTCTACCTACAGCTTCAGGCCCTCCAATCCTTCAGGGAAAATTGGGCCTTTTTTCCCCTTAAAAGGAATACCCCAACTCTTTAGCTCCCCCTAGTGGACTCCAGGTTACACCTGCTGCCACAAACTTGCTTTCTTCCCGTGCTGGGTTTTTGCTGAAAGAGAAGAACATGGCTATGACTCTGGGAAAAGATAAAATGAAAGCATCATTGCAGTACGAAGATGGGGTTAGCGAGTGGTTGGGTGCCGGAGTTTTTAAACAGCAATTAATTCACTGTTAGTTTACTCTTGGTCATCAAAAGCCAGCCTCTTTGTATTACTGAAGAACATAATTGAATTTTGATAAACAGGGGAAAGGAATTCAGCAGGCACTGAAGAAGCACCACTATATTATTTTATTCATTTATGACATTTATAAAATGTTATCTCCAAAATACATGAGAGATGATATACAAACTTTTGAAGTATCAACCAACAAAAAAAAATATAGATCCAGTCCAGACGAAACTTTGTGAGTGCCTCACCCTCAGTCAACCTTGGCCTAAAAAGCAGTCATGCTTATCTACGCAGTTTTGGTGTGTGGAGTTGGTAGAACAGGGTGTGAACTCAACACATTGTTCCTATTATCATCTACTACTACATATACATTTTGCAGTATAATTCAGCCCAACTCATTCCTCATTAATAAATAAGACCAACTTGGTGGTGGAGTGGAGGAGAGAATTCAATTTTTTTCAATAATAAAGCCTCATAATATATTTAATTTGTGTTTCCTATCTATTCTCTGCATCATTTTCAGAAAACAAGCAAATCACCAACATGTCAAAAGAACATGGCAAACATAATGAATGAGCTACAGACTTTTGTGCTTGAGAGCAGTGGTTCCCAACTCTTTTGGTATCGTGACCGCTCAGTTCAAACCCACTTAAAAACAGAGCTTGCCCAAATTGATACAACTGCAAAAGCCTAGAATCCACTTCCACAGGCTTCATGAGCCACTTTTGGGTCAGGATCCACAGGTCGGGCAACACTGCTCTAGAGCGGGTCTGCATAGCTTGTAACCCACAGGCCACGGACCATGTTTCTTCTCTTGGAAGCACTGGTCCTCTTGGTTCAGCCAATCTGTTGTCCCTGCTTTGGAAATCTACCTAGCTAGCTATCTAGCTAGCAGACTAAGTGATAAGATAGTGCCTCCTCCCCATAAGGAAATCCAAATTCATCCCTTTTGTATCCCTATTCAGAAGTCACAACAGTGACTTTGAACATACACAGAGCACATTTCCATTCCTATTGAGTAACCACATCTCAAACCTATGAGGACAGGAGGTACAACCACACCAAAGTACAAGATCCATCCAGGCACTGACTTCCTTTAAAAAAAAAAAAAAAAAAAAAGCTGAGCAACATGAGTATGAGCTCCCATACGAGATCAGGGCCCTGTGGGACCTTTTAAAGTTCTTTGGGGGGGGGTATACTAGGAGAGGAAGTCCCGAAAATACATGCAGGGCCTGCAAGACAGAGCTCTTCCACTAGGCCAGGCTTTTAATTACGGTAACAGTTGTCCCTCTGTTTTTACTGGGCCTCTACTCAACGGGTCAGAACTGCATATTAGAATTGGCATCTGTGAGGTTTTAATGTCAATGACAATGACACTGGATGAAGGCCATGGTGGTATTTTATTAGTGTTTTAATTGTACATACTGTATTTTATTAAATTTGATGTAACCTGGCCTAAGCAATGTGGGGGAGGGCGGGATAAAAGTCGAATAAAATAAATAAATAAATAAATAATAGGCACAATCCAAAGGAACCATTGCCTTTGTAAACAGAAGTGCAGATGGGCATGGATAAGATCACCCCAAAAGATCTGGAGTTTAGTGTATGGAAGTTCTGTCTTCTCAGTCCTTTCTCATTAAAACAGCACAAACGAGTATGAAAATACAAGAAATGAAGTGAAGGAACCTGGCCTGAGCATACAAGCAGTTAGAAAAATCTCATTAGACGCTGTTCCTTTAAGAGAGGGGATTCCAAACTGCCGGATGAGAGGCTTTGTCTGAGATGATGTCATTATGCAGCTGTATGTGAACCAGGAAACAGAAAAATCCCGAGGAACCATTTTCAAGAGTACAAGTTGCGTGTGTGTGGGGGGGAAAGTAGTATATGGAGGTCAACGCAAGAGCCAAAGATATCGCATAGTCTTTTAAGTTTGATTTCTGTCTGAAGGCGCCGTGTATTAAAAAGGTAGGCTGAATACATTTGTTCCCGCAAAATCTAGTCTGAAAAGAATCGGAGGAAGTTTTAAAAATAAACGCGTTTGGATGAAAGGAGACTAAATTTTATCGGCTGTGAAAAAGAATAGGAATGGAATGCGTGAGAAGCGATGTAGGTACCCTTTAGCAGCATTTAATATACTAAAAAGTTACTAGAGCGGAAATCGGATGCACCCTTACTTAGGAGTAAGTCTTACGGAACTCAGTGGCGCTTACCGCAGTACAGGGATACAGAGGCTTCTGCTGTACTTTCACTTCTGTTTTCCTCTTTGTCCCCCGTCTCTTGTGTTTGAGCAAGTTTTCGAAAAATAGTTTGGTTCTTTGCAAGCTGTACAGCCTGATCCTACTGAATGTAAGACCGATTGAGTTTATAGTATTTAACTCTATGTGATAGCTCTGTTTGGGTATTTAGTGTCGATTTTAGAACCTGACATTATTTTTGTATGTTTAAAATAGCGCCAACAAGTATTTATTGAAGAATATCTAACGTGTACTATAGATACATAATCTGGGTTGCTGTGATAAATGATTTCTGTGGCTTTCAAGGATTTCAGGGTGTCGCATTGTCACTGAAGATAAATTCCAGTGGCACCTTTAAGACCGACAAAGGTTTATTCAAGGCATGAGCTTTTGTGTGCATGCACACTTTTTCAAATACACTGGAATGGAAGGTAGAGTTCAAACTTACAGACAAGAGGCCGAACAGCAAATTAACAAGTAACATGATGAAGATGTTTTAAGTTATGCAAAAACTAAATAACAAGCTAAGGTTATAAGGTCAACAGTTGTTTTGATTTAATTAAGGGGGGGAGAAGGACACCAAAGCAATAAATATGTCAAAATAGGGGATAAGTATGTAAAGGCCTCTTTTCTAATTGTGGGAAGTAAATTGGCACTCACCCACAATTACTTCCCACAATTAGAAAAAACAAGTGGAGACCCGCAAGAAACTTGCGGAATGGTTATCCTGTTCCTCACACCTTTGCTTCCTCCTGTCTCCCTCTACCTGTCTCACACTCTTTCTCCCTTCTGCCCCCCTTTTCTTTTTCTCCTCCAGCTATGGCATTATACTGATCTGTAGTTCCTTCCCTCCTCCAATCCCACCCTCCCCAGTCTACACCCCACAAATGTCCAGGAATTTCCCAACCTGGAGTTGGCAACACAATTTCCTTCCCACCCAACAGCCAACCTACCTTTATCTGCCTCTCTGTCTGCAACTTTCCATCTCCACACCCCTCCCCCACAGCCTCTACCTAGGAAAATTACAGTTTTTCTCCACAGTGGGGACCAAAACAGCTTACATTATTCTCTCCTACTTTTTATCTGCACAACAACCCAGCTTTCATAGGGTGGCTGCTGATGAACAGTAGCAAGCAGCTGGGCCTACTTGAGTCATGCAAATCAGGTGGTATCAAGTCACCCAGAGGGTGCTGCCGAGGGATGCCAGCCTCCAGGTGGGACCTGGGGATCCCCTGTAATTCCTGCTCATTTCCAGACTACAGAGATAACTTCCCATGGAGAAAATGGATGCTTTGGAGGGTGGACTCTGTGACATTGTACCCCACTGAGGTCCCTGTCCTCCCCAGACTCCACCCCCAAATCTCCAGGAGTTTCCCAGCATGGACCTGGCAACCTTATCCAGAATCCCCTGTCGGTGGCCGGGGGGGAACCTGGCGACCCTAAACTCCTG